ACTTCTACTTTGCGGTAATAAACTTCTCTCTGTGTGATATATTATTCGAGGATTAGCTGGCAGAGTTGAAGTTGATGGATGTTTTCTTTCTTTTCCCAAAGCTCAGTGTTTTCAGTGCCGTACTGTTGGAAATAAGGTATAAAATGAGATTAGTTCCAAGTCAGGCCTGTGTGTTTTTTAGGCTAATTCTGTTTCCAGAATTTCCTTGGGTACTGCAATTTCCTGTTGAGTTTAGTGCTATTGCAGGAAGTCCTGTGCTCCCAGGTGCCATGCCTGACAGAAGCTGGTTCTGGATCCTGCAGCAGTGTACTGGTGCCACTTCATAGGTGAAAGTGTTCCCTGTTGCGTATAGAAGCTTAGTAGAGAATTAAGATGGCTTTATATTTCACCTGTGGCCCTCCGGACACTGGTCTTCTCTGGAAGCCAGATTTGCCACCAGGGCTATTCAGAAAGACCTGCCCAAACAGCTACAACTCTGTAATCTTCTCAGTTCAGTGTATTTCTGTCCACTCCAACGCACCCATTTTTGTTGTCTTTTGTTTTACACCCCAAGATGTATTTGTTGTCTTAAACCTCTAGCTGCCTTTGCAGTCCTGGTACTAATTCACAGTGGTATAATTAACACACTGGCCAACGTACTGTGCTAAAATGCATCTAGCCCTGGACCAAGCCAGTTTTATAGCTAGGTAATACAGTCCAAGTGAACTAATTTAAGGTAAACTCATGCACCTTCATGCTCAGTTTCTATGCCAGGAGAACTTTTTCCCCAGCAAGCTTCTGGGATGTAAAAGCCCATTTACCTGTAGTTGAGAGGATAAAGTCTCCCTGAGACATTGACATAAATCAAGATTACAGCTGGGCATACATATCTGCAAAATTAGTTTTTGCCGTTGTCTAAATATAGGCAAATAAGGCCTCGTTTCAGCCAGCTTTTTAAGGTCTTAGAACCAAAAGATCTTTTCACCAGGTCACCAGATTCTGGCTTGAGCCTGCTGGCTCCCTTATTAATACGTAAGCTAGGGAGAGAAGTAAAGTATAGTGGGAATTCTAGTCAGAAAACAGTAACGGTTTCAAGCCCCTTATTTTTCCACTAGATGGTTCCAAAAGTTTAAACAAAAGCAGATTTAAAAAAAAAAAAACAACTTTTTTTTTTTTTTTTTGAGCTAGAATCCAATATAACAACAGTGAAACAGGGCTGACTTGTTCCAGTGATGCACTGCACAGTGCTTTTCATCCTTCCAACACCTTGCAGACTTGGAGTCCCCTCTGCTCTGAGGTTGCTTGTCACTAGTGTAACACCATTCACCCCAAAAGAGTTTGGCCTGCTTTGGTCAGGGTCCATGATGATCAAAATCAAATCTGTGGACTGATTAATTAGCGCAGAGGTACCAGGTAAGTCCCACCACCTTTCATTATCAGTCTTCATTTCAAAATAATCAGGGTCCCTCCTGATCTGAATTATTCCTGGTCTAGGTAAAGAGGAAAGTTGAATCTGTATGTGAGGGACTTCACTGGTATCCTCTTAGATGTCATTATTCCTATAAACCTCCTTCTGGCAAGTCACTTAAGCCCAGACTCATCCTACTAATTTGAGATTCACGTCAGTTATCTTCATTAGTTACACTTCTGCAAGGTGCACAGAGGGGCCTGTAGACAAGAATTGTCTGGGTGTGCTCACAGGACATTGCACGGTGCTCCCAGATTTGGCTTCAGTGAGTGAGCATGAGCAATGGCCATTGGAAGGTTCATTTTCCTGTGGGTTAGGACCTCACCCATCACTGACTTTTGCCTGTTAGGAGCTGCAAGGTCTGTCTGCATCCATATCTTGTCTGATACTTTTATGTGAGCTCATGTTTCAGCCTTTCTCCCAAACATGGCAAGAATTAATTTTCTCGTCCTTTTTTAGCTGTTATTTTACATAAACATGTAGCACTTAAATCTCCTGAATTCTTCTTTTCCTTTAGAAAATTTGTTTGAAATTGCACAGTAGATTTAGAAGGTATCGAAACCAGAACACAGAGGCAGGTGGTGTAATCTTATGAATTTATTATAAAAAGTATAACTCCTTTATAACTGATTGGAAGGAATCACTTGGTTTTACTTGGAAGGAATTTAGCTCCTCTGAATCAATAATTTAATGTTCATTAGTATTCTGAGGAAGAATGTTTTTATATGACTTTTTATCTTGACCACTCTGTTACGTTTGTTCTGTCAGGTTTGGACCACATCTCTGTGTCATAGTTATTCCCCTGTGGTAATACCTTGGTGAAACAAAGAACCAGAACTATGAATAATGTATTGACTATACACAGTTTCAGATGCTTAACTTGATAAGAGATCTTCCTCATGGGTTTATTTTGGGTGTACTGAAGCACAGTAATACCCAACAGCTTTAAAATGTTTCCATGATTATATAATACAAAATAAGGCCTCAGATGTGAATTTTATATTCCACTAAATTTTGTCATTGTTGATTTTAAAGCATATTAGATCATCCACAAATAGGAGGCCTTTAGAGCATCAGACTGTTTAGGAACAAGTGGTGGACAGTTTTGGAGAGCTTCTCTTTCTCCTTGGCATGTTTTTATGATAATTCAAATATTGGAGATAATTTACCATGTTGCTGGTACTATACCAGAGACCTTATGTGGTGGAATTTATATCACTTTCCTTTTAGACATTTAAACCACATGTCATTCTAGAAAAACGAGGACAGAGGTCCAACAAAGGAGTGATTTATTTTCAGTTAAAATACTAGCTACATTAAAACCACATGTTATTAAGTACTGTATAACCAAACCATACTCAGAAGAAGGCTTACGACACTAAAGCTTGCTTAAAATGTTTCTTTTTTTTTTTCCCCCAAAAAAGTCTTTGGCAGTGCATACATTAACAGACTTTACCTGAGCTGCACAGTACACTGGCTATAATTTTCCCTTGATGAAACAAGTTATTAAAGTACCAGAGTACAAATTAATTCAGTTCCTTATTATTTTTGTCACATTTCTAGATGGTTGAACTTTTCTGTCCATTTTGGGTAACATTGCATCTCTGTGAATATCCCTCCTGAAACAGCATACTACGATTAAGGTTGTTAAGATGTTTTTCAAAGTGAAACAACTTGTATTTTGGGCATTTTACCAACATGAACTCTCATAATGCTTCTGTGAGAAGAGTAAACTAATGCACAGAAGTAGTGCACACAAATCCAAGACCAGAAGGGAAATCAATACAAAGATTAGAATTAAGGGGTCACAATTTTGTTTTCAAGATGCAGATGCTGAGGACCAGTTTCTGTCCTCATTATGCTACACTTCCACAACAGATTGCCTAGGACTTGAAGGGAATTTTTTTTTATGCTAATGTTCTCAGGTGAGTTGTCCAAAGCTTGGTGGAGATGACCGGTGGATTCATCCTGTACAAAGGACTTCTGCAGTTGCACCAAGCTTCCATGCTGGTTCTGTGCACGTGTGCCTGGATAATACTGGCACAGAGAGGGCGCTTGAGGGGCTGGGAACTTAGCTGCCTCACCCGTATGCTCCTGGGAATTGTTAGATGTCAAGATATGCCAGTATCAAATGGGGAAGTGTTATTGCCTCATTGTTCAGATTCTGCTCAATGTGCAACTGGCATAGATGAGAAAGCCTGCGTGTGTGTCCCCCCCATGCTTTCTAAGAACTGCACGTTCATGAATCACCACAGCACCCCGGTCCCACAGGTAATTGCTGGACAGTTTTAGCCCTAGAATGGATCTAGCTGGTTACTGTCAGTCTTTAAACAAAGCAGGGACCAGAAGCAGCAGATTTCTCTGCTTGTATGCTTGAGATCATTATAATTCAGATGTTACAGTCACATCTTGAAATCGTTAATATTACCTTAAGCTTGCCTGGTATTCTCATTTGTCCTGAAACTGCTTAGCTCAAGCAGATCCTGAAGCATAGATTTTGCATCAGCAGCAAGCTAAAATTTGTAGCGGCTTTAAACAAAAAAAAGTCTATGGTATGTGACTTTTCTCACCCCTTGGCTGCCTGATTGAAATGTAGTATATGTATTAATATTATATGTTAAACTATAGAAACTTTACTGAATTAAAGCTGTATAGTTTGCTACCTTGTCTTGGATGCAGAACAGTACCAAGTAACACAGGCGATGGTGCAAGAAACCACACAGTGGACAAAGGAGGACTATGTGGTAGGCTTTGACTTGTGCCACATCTAAATCATAAACTGTGACAGTAAATTTTAGCATAATATGAATTAAGCATGTCCTAAATTATTATTGAATCACCTCCCCAACAAGCCACTCTGCTGTACAGTATGTTTTATTTTATTTTTTTTACCAGCCTGGTTGGCATACCTGTAGTCACAGCTGAGATAGCTGCCTAACTGAAGTAAATGGTGTGTAAACTGACATACAAGGAAATACAAGGCAGCTATACTCCTGCTGCCTGCTTTGCCTTTCCTGAAGCACTAGAAAGCTGGTGCTGCCACTAGTACTGAAAGAATATTGTGGGGTACCAAGTGGCAGCTTGTTCGGGCTTCTGTCCCTTGGCAGCAGCTGAGCAGCAAGGATGTCTCTCCAGGCATCTCTCCATCTCATCTCCCCTCTGTGCTTCACTTTGTGGTGGCAAATTTTCAGTTTTGTTTACTCTGCTTGGCAGCATGAGCACATTTGGGCGAGCTGAAAGAACTTACAGGTTAGACATTCAAAGGCTGGAGGAAGAACATGATTATACTAGTGATTCACATATGATACTCAGAAAAAAATGTTATTATCATGCAGGTGAATGAGGTGAATTAGGACAATACTGCCCAGAAGTTATTGTCATCCATAGGTTTTGTTTCCTAAAAAAATGCAAGTAATTTTACATTTTCCTGATTATAATTCCAGTCCTCTTTACATGGGTCTCAGGGCCTTCTTCCTTTTTCTTAATTTAGGTTATCATTTATCTTTTCTTTATATTGCATCATCCAACTGACTTGTCTTCTCCCTTTCTCTAGATGTTTCTAGGTGTGTGGCCGAGAGGAAGTACACCCAGGAACAAGCTCGCAAGGAATTTCAACAAGTGTTTATCCCAGAATGCAATGACGATGGCACATATAGTCAGGTTGAAAATTTTTCATTCAGTATCTTGCATTGCTGGAGAGTCAGAATATGTGTGTTTGCAGAGGATGAAGACAAGACAAGTGTAATAAAGTGAAATGTAATTTCAAAATGAAATGTAATTTGTGCTAACACTGACGTTAAAAAATGGAAGGAAAATTCATGTTTTGTGCCGAGTCCATGTTCTTTTTTTCAGAGTTGGCCAGCAAAAAAGCCAAACATTACTGTTGTTCATGTGATACACTCCCTGTTCTTCTAGGCTGAGGCAGCTGAGTCATTCTGGTAGCCCCCTGAATACTCATCAGATGGTAAAATGCTTGGAATTTCTGATCTGTTCCTGATCCCAACCAGAAATCTTATGACTAGAGTCCATATCTCAGTGTTAAAGCATGAATCATGCAGGATTCTTCCCTATTCTCAGCTGAATTTCTGCAGGTCTGAGACTAATTTACTTAGGTTAGATCATGGAATTCAGAGGGATGCAGTTAGAAGCTTATCCTGTGATATATATCCCAATCAAGATCACCTTCTGCTGCCTCTGTACTGCATTTCACTTGTGAAGTTGTGCAGAAGACAATCCTTGTTTTACAGGAGATGATATTGGCCCTCAGGAAATATAATGCAATTGATTTCTAAGAGCAATTCCAAGAGTTTCCTTTCTGACAGCTTGGGATATGAATAATGCTGGCACAGGCACTCTGTCCTGCTCCTTCAGTGGGTGGAACAATATGTTCTCTATGTGGAAAAAAGCTTGAGATTCCTTGCTTCAGGAACAGTTTATGTGTCCCTTGAGGAACTTCATTGTGAGGTCTTCATAACACCTGCACCTCACTCTTCTGAAATGGGATGTAAACAACCACATATTTCAATAGTTTTCTCTTCCATTGGATTCTGAAGGACCTACCACACTTTGCTTGAAATAAGCTCTTCTTTATGCTAAAGAATCATATTTAGTACTGAGTTTAGGTCCATTATGGTTTATTGTTCTAGGTTTGTCAATATAGTTTGCTGGACTAGTCTTTTACACTCATGTGTCACAAATGCTGTGGGATAACAGACACGTCTGACAAACTGCATGTGTTTCATGTCATTTCCGACAGGTTCAGTGCCATAGTTACACTGGATACTGCTGGTGTGTCACTCCCAATGGTCGCCCTATCAGTGGTACTGCTGTGGCCCACAAAACTCCCCGGTGCCCAGGTAAGACTTTGACTGCCCAGGTTATAGCTTTGTCTCATGGACAGTAGAGTTTATCTGTGGCATCTGGTTAGACTTAAGGAAAAAAACCTCTTCACTGGAAGAGAGGTTCAGCACAGAAACAGGTGCTGGCTGGAACTGTGGATGCCCCATCCTTGGGGGTTTGCAAAACTCTACTGGATGAGGCTCTGAGAAAGCTGGTCTGGCTTTTAAGCTAGCCCTGCATGAGTTCTGAGGTCACTGCCACCCTAAATCTTCCTGTGATTCTATGATCCATCTACTTTATTTGTACTATAATCTAGCTATTGAAGGTGTTTTCTGCAATGATTATTTGTACAGTATTTATGTGTCAATATATGAAACCATGCAACTGACTTGCTGAGGTAGTTCTTTCTCTATGATGAAACTCTCTTGCATGTAAACTCATTGCAAAAAATTTCAGAGGGCTTTGCCTTTTTGATATTTTAAGTATTTAGAGTATAGAAGCTCCCCCCCCCAAAAAAAAAAAAAGAGTGTAAATGTCCTGATTTGTAACATAGCCCAAGGAAAGAACTCCTACAGCAAACCCCATGAATCACCAAATCCAGAGGAGAAATAAAAATGAAACAAAGCATTAAGAACATCATGGAATCATTGTAGAAATTAATTGGCAAATCAAACTCATTTCCATATATTCTGCCTTTTCTCTTTCATCAGGACAATTAACAGGTTCACTGTTTTTTTTTAGGAATTTGTTTCTGACCCTATTTCATTGATACTGATAATAAATATAAATTTCCACTCTATGAACAGTTGCCAGAATTGCTGTTCACCTTCCTTGAGGCTGACAGAAGTGCACAGAAATAGCTCTAAAAATACTTGAGTTCTATGTATTGCATTTCTGTTTGTGCTGCAGCACCATTGTCTGTCAGAGAATGGAAGAAATAACTTTAAAATGTTATGTAAATGGAGCTGAAAAAAAAAAAAGTGATTGGGACCTTTGAGGGAATTCACCTGGTCTGATCTACTTCAGTCATTCAAGCACAGTATTGATGTTTTTAATAAATAGATGGAGAAAGGAAGAAACCACTGAGAATGTTCAACAAAGATTATAAAAAAATAATTCCACTTTTAAGTTTAAATGACTTGCAGAATCTTCCATGCGTCTTGTCTGTAGGTGCACTTTACCCAGAAAGTAGTCTTCAGATTAATCCTTTTGATTCAGTCTGAAAAGTTACTGTGGAATGACAGTCAATTGTGAAAAATAATATAAAATATTCAGAAGCCTTAAAATAGAGAAAAATGTGCATTCATTTAAATGTAATTATTAATTATAACTGGATCACATTTTCAGAAAACACATGGTTAGGATAGCATTTTGGTGCTTCAGTGTATTCTTGAATAGGGGTGCTTTTGCATGTCCAGAGCCAGGGCTTCTCTGATAGCGTACCTTCGCTGCTTTCTCTGCAATAGCAAGTTGTAGCTTCCTCTCTTTCACTGACATCAGTGAAAAAGGGGTTATGCTTATGCTGAAAGTTCAACAAGTCATTGTTTGGCAGATGTGTCACAACATATGGCATTATGTTTGGCTCAGAATGTTGCTGAGTTAGTTACTGTACTTTCATTTTTTCCTATTTGTATTCAGTATTATCAAGGAGAAGCTGCAGTGTAGTTCGAGGTTAATTAATAGATTAATATGAGAATTATTCTATCTCTGCAGGAACCAAACCCTAGTTCCTCTTGAAGGTATATTCATGTGCCTACCATATGAACCGCCAGCCTGCTTCAGCTCATTTTTGGAGGAGTGGGAAGGGAAGTTAGTTTTACAGAAATGCTAGGAGAAGGTGAGAGTAGCACTTGATAGTAATTTTGTAGCTCAGAGATAGACAGACTGCTCCAGGGCCCAGGTGAATACGCAGAGTCTCATTTTGCTCCATGGAATATCATGGCTAATTTTCCAATTGTTATGAGACCCATTGGGTTTTTCTCTGCACATTTCCTCTCCTGCTTGTATCGGTGCTCTCATGTTTTACAGCTGACCACTTCTCCTTTGTCCTTCAGGAAAGAAGGTCAGCTACAGCTGAGTTTGGAAACAGATTTGAAGTACTAGGGTATTTTGGAGTAGTAGTGGCTAAGGGCTCAGTTTTAAGAGGTCTGGAGAAACCTTCTCATTCAGCACAGAAGGCAGCTACAGATAGTGTCAGAAAGTTATGTGGTATAATAAGGCAAACTTTTGCTCTTACATTGGAGAATGAAAGCCTGAAGCACAACTACACCCCTCTCCCATTTCTCAATACGTGTTCAAAATTGCCATCTGTTTAGGATAATAGAGTTTTTTCTCCCCAGAAGGACTGTTGATGTTTTCCAGATCACCACTCGTTCTCTTTTATACTTTTTCTTTAGTACCACTATGGACAGGAATTGCGATCAAAATATTAGTGGTTAAACTGAAGTTAAGTAGATGTACTCCTGTCTTAACTAGTATTTCAGGGATGCCATTTCTTCCGACACTATTGCTAACCTCATTGTAGGCATTACCTTGCTGGTTTTTGATATTGCAGGCAGATCTCCTGTAGCGGTGGCATCCTGACATCAGCATGTTTATGTATTTTCACTTAATTCTGTGTATTCTGCAGGCATGATGCTAGAGCTATTCTAAAGACATTAATGCAAATTTCTCAGTTTGCATGTGCCAGACTTTCTTCTCCCAAGATCACTTTTGCCACCTTTTTCCTTTAGAGCAGAACGTGGACAGACAATCAAGATGGCAGGTAGAGTCAATTGTGAACGTGCTTTTGTAATTATTTTCTCATAGGAAATGTGATACCATGGAATGTGTGAAAATTTTTCTTTTTAATGAAAATTTTCAGTGTTTCTTTTCAGTCCTAGGTTAGTTCTTCAGTAACTTCAGATAAGGTTTGAATACTTGTCTAATCAACTGTTCCTAAATTATGATATAATTTCTTACCTTTCATTTTCTCCCAGTAGAACCACCTTTGACTTTGGTGAATATCCAGAAATAGGAAAGAAGAGCATGGCAGCCTGGAAGAAGTTGAATTTTATTAGAGGAAATATGGAGCAGAATTTAGGATGGGCCAGTTAGGAATCTGGTTTCCCAATTCCATCCCCTATCTGTGCTTCATATTTACTATGTGATATTGGATAGGTGAAACAGCCTCTAAGTTTATCTAACTGTTAATATTGGTTAGCTGCATAACATGATGCTATCTCAGGTCCTGGGACAGGAAAATGTCACATGTATATTTTTTATGTATCTAAATAGCTATTTGAGCCATTTTTTACTCATTGTGTTGTTCTGGTTGCTCTTATTGAAGCTATCTTTTTCACTGAAGACACAAGGTGTGGAAGGATGAAGGTTATAAACAGCATTAAAAAATGCAGGACTCTGCAACTGATTTGGTTTTTTGCTTTAATTACTACATATTTACCTGAAAGAGGATCTTCCATCCTTCCCAGTTATTCCCACATCAACACTTGGTACTGCTAAAACACACATGATAAATCTCAGAATGCCATTTCACTCTATAGAAATAATCTCCACTGTTGCAGAAGCAGTGGTGAGAAGGAGAGTAAATCAAACACATTCCCATGACAGCATTAAAAAGAAAGCTCCTTAAAAATGATGAATGTGCCCCAATACTTTCACTAAAGAACACCAGACATAAGACAGACATTTTTACAACTCCCCATCTCTGTTATCAGCACTGCAGGGAACTGCAGAAATTCCACAGGCACAGAGTCCTGGGAAATGTGGCAGAAACTGAGAAGCAGGTGTTAAATTATCGTTGGAAAATACAATGTTCACCTATTGTAGGGTTTTTATGCCATATTAACTCTTCTGGGCTTCTGCCAGACAGATTTCAGAGGTATGGACACATGGTTTATTATTCTGTGAAGTAGTTTTACTACCTTACAATTAAGATGCCATGATCCTCTTTTAAGGCCAGAACACAAGTACTTTTAAAAATTCAGAACTCCTCCTGTCTGTATAGTCTTATCATCAGATAATATGATGAAAATGAATATATTTGGGAAGGCAATATGTTTGTTTAGTTTACATTATATTGCTTTTGTTAGCTGGGAAAAATATCCATCCTTGAATTATCTGGTTCTTCTGTCTGAATACATAGTACTTTCCCTATAAATACAGAGTCAGACACACACATTTCTGAAATATAGAACAGCATGGGAAGTTTACTGTCCCGTCTCTTGATATCTGCATTCAGTGATTACATATCAAATATTCTTTAGCAGGAGATCAGAAATCATTATCTAAACTGGATAATAGTAGACTTTCACCTTCTCTTTTAAAGCCCAGGCACATCTGATTAGAACTATAGAAAATGGATATGCTAAAATCACAAACTATGAAACTTAACATCAAATTCCCTGGAAGATTTATTGTGCCTCAGAAGTTGTTAGACTGAAACTGGGCAGAATTGTGGGGTTTGCAATAAACTAAGGCACAAATATTTCTGCTTTTTTCTTTTTTTTTAATTCATCAGAATCATAGATGTATAGATGGATAAGGAAATGTGCAAGCTAGAATGGTACTAAATTGTTCTTGTTAAAATAATGCTGCTGAATCTAATATCCCTCCTTGCCTTCTCCCCTTCCATAAATGTATTTATGTGGTCATTTGGTTGTTTACAGTGCACTGAAAACTTGGAAGCTGATTGTATTACCTAACTTTTAGATAAGTTATAAGTTGCTATTTCTGTTTCTTGCCTAGCTGAAAATGTGGGCATTTGTCGTGAGTATTGAAGATGCAACTTCCTAGAAACTTGCAAACTCAACTTCCTATCGCCATTTAAGCTAGAAGTATTTCTACCTCAAATATATTCAGAAAATGGTAGAAAAACCTGATACGAGCTCAATAACCCCTCCTCATGTCCAGCTTGGAGGCAACAAGAAAAGTTTCTGCTGCAAAAATTGAAAATCTCAGGTGAAACTATGTGAAGGGTGCAGATTTCCCTTTGTAGGAAATTCTGTGAATATTTCTGTTAGCTTCCTAAGACTATGAAAAAAATTAATGTTAGCCCAGTGAAACTAATTTTCCTAGCATTCATCTAATTTCACAGTGAAGACAGATTTCACTAGGATAAACTCAGCCTTTGTGAATGCCACTGTCTCCTTCTATCCATCAATTTTCCATCAAAATTTGGGGTTAAAAAAAGCAAAACACAGAAAAAAGAATTAAATTCTCCCTGAGTGTACATGAATATCATATAGTCATTATTTCTCATAATTTCACATACAGAAGGAGTAATCTGAAGGAATCTTGCTGTTAATGAAATCTGGAAAGATTTTTCTGCTTTTGGTTTAAGATGAGGAATATTATGTAAATTTCACCAATGTGTTAAATTACTTATGTATAAACTGAATTTAAGTTAAATTTTTAATAGTGGTTCTGAATGTACATAGAGAGACAACACTGGTGTCAAGCTGAGGTTTTACTGAACACTCTTTTGAGTGCAAAGAGGCTATCAGTAGCAGTTCATCACACACATTCCCCATGCTGAGACCTCATTTCTATTCAAAAACTGGTGGTGTCATCCATGCTTTATTGTGGATGACAATCAGACCTAAAATCTCTATATTTGCAAGAGAATTATAATTATACTCCTGTGCATCAAAATTAAATTGAGAAACTACAGTGTTAATTGTAACTGGATGAAATTTGAGGAATGATTGGATCACTGCTATTTAGTGCAATTAGGAAAACCTGTAAATTTGTATGCAGTACTTGCTAAAACTGGAGCATCTTATTTGAGCTCAAGCTGAGCCTCTTACCAAATTCAAGCCAAGCACCAACAAGCTCAGATGTTTTGGCTTCAGCTAGCATAAATGCAAGAATCTGCCTCCTCTTCATAGTGAACAACACAGATTAGTATTGCAGTCCATTTAGAGCAAGGTATCCCAAACGCCCTTGGATATAATTCCTACAATGATAATGACGTTGTTTTTCCTGTCTGAATTAATACTGATGCATCACTAAATGTATTGAGTTTCTGGTGATTCAAACATGATACAATAAAAATATTCTACCACCAAAAAAGGAAACAAGTCTAAACTGGAATATTTTTGATAGGGATCTGTAACAGCTGAATCCTTCAGAAGGTAATATCAGCTTGGCTGCATTATCATGTATTCTTTAATGCAGGCTTTAAAATCAGCATGCCAGATTTGTGAAGTTAGCTGTCTTCCCTCTGGCAGATTCCTGTGTCTAAACTTTGTGCTGATGTAGTCATCAGTTCAGCATGGTAAACAAGACCTGTGATTTAATGGGTTCTCTTATTTAAATTATCCTTTTTGAACAGATTTATTGTGCTGCAAGGATTGGGGGTTTTTAATTATTTGTTTTAAACCCAGTGAATTTTGTTACTCCAGAGGGAAATAAATGAAGAAAATTAAGGCCCAAATTATTTCACACACTTCTGAGCATCTGTCAGATGTATTTTGGTTTGGGGGGTTTTTTTGAGGTTTGGGTTGGGTTTTTTTTTTCCCCCCATTAATACAGATGTTTGTAAGAAGAGAGGATGTGGTAAGAATTGATAGACATTATGCTTTTTAATTTTCTCTTCCGAGAGAAAAATAGTGCTTTTAAAGATGTTTTTTAATATGTTGATAAGTGGCTAAGAGCTAGAATCATACAAACGGTTGTAATAATGAGACATCAGTGAGCAATAAGGAAATGTTTTTATTTGAAACCCTACGGACAGCTAGCTCTTGTAAAACTACTGAGAAACCCAATGGACTCTCCATTTCTTGATGACTAGGAATCATGACTGGGTGCTGGGTTGGAGTCCAGGCTGGCAGAATAAACTGTTAAAATACATCTGCCAACTTCCTAACTCCTTCCCCACCACTGCTGTTGTCTCCTTTCCTAAGGGCCACAGCTCTGAGGACATCTCCAGCAAGCAGCTCAGGCTCAAGTTCAGAATAAGGCACCGTCCCCGCCTCCCCCAACACGCACACTTTTCCACACCAGCACAGGGTTTCGGGAGGGCCTTGTAGGAGGTATTTAAAGCATAAAGGGGCAGTTTTTAATCTGAGCCAGGACTGGGCTAGAGGCTGGAAAAGCCCCACGGAGCAGCTGAGGTGCACGGGCAAGGCTCTGTGTGTAGGAAGGGTGCAGCCCTGCACGAGGAGCCGCGAGGGAGTGGTGCTGTGGCGATGCATCTTACTGCAGGACCTCTCCTTGCGGGGTCAGTGGGGAAGGGAGACGTTGACTCTGCAGCACATGAGCATGTTCTTGCACTTGTGTCTACGGAGTGTTTAATGTTATCTCTTTCTCAGGTCCTGCGGTGGCCAAGAAGTAGCATCTGACAGTAAATTGGTGGTACGCAAATACAGAAGTTGGGCAAAGCTAAAATCTTTCGTTTGCAAGGGAAGAATTTGCTGATGTTTATTGCTGTAATAAACAAAAATGAATCATTAAAGCTGAACTTAGAAAACATATTAAAAGTGAAAATAATATTTTTCTCGTTAATTCCTTTTTTCCAATTGCAGGTTCAGTGAGTGAGAAGCTGCCACAACGAGAAGGTGCAGGAAAAACAGGTAAATATCTCAGTTGGCCTTTAAATGGAAACTAAAATAGCTGTGGGATACACCACTGTGATGTTCCACAGGTTTAAATTATCAGCATATATTTATCATGTATTATATATGCATATATAATATGTATACATGCATTATGTGCTATTCATTTCATGTCTGCATTGGAGAGAATTAGTAAACTTATGAGTATAAAGTATATGTACGTGTGCATGTATTTGTCTATATATGCATAGACATTATATTTTGCTAGTCTCAGCCCTACAGACATTGCTATTCTGTGCTCTTTGGAACATAACTTTTCTTCCCATAGCAACACTCTGAAATATTTTCCCATACTGTTTGCTTGCCCTGGAGGACCGATTATTCTGTCTGTCTGATAAAGACAGCATTCTACAGTCCCAAAACCTCGGGAACTGGAGTCCTTACTTTATTTCCATAGCAATCACTGCTTGAGTCATCTTGGACCCAGCACTATGCTCTATATTGTGATTAAATCATCTGGTGGCTTACATTCGTGGCCAGATGATTGTTGTTAGAGATAGATTGTGGTGTATATCTTGTTGGCAGGACAAAATCCGATGCGACTCTAACATAGCTGGTAGATTTAAATGAGGGTGATGTCTGTGCTTTAAACAAAATTAAAGCTAACACTCTCCAAACACTTAAAAGAATTTCAAATTCAGCTGAAAATAACATACTAAATGTTGCTGTCAGTTACAGTGGCATAAATTAATTTTAAAGTTACTCATATTTGTGCTAATGTTAATGACTATCTGTTTGGTCCACTGTAAATATAATTGAAGTATTTTTTTTACAGGAACTTTTGCAGCATTGTAGTATGCCACATTTAAATAAACTATTGTGCTGTTAGGTTAAGAAAATCAGTACTTCTTTAAAGGCTAATAATTACAAAGTACAAAGGAAAACTGTTCCTTCATGTATTTCCAGACAAATTGTGGGTTCCACTAACCCTAAGCTACCCATTTGCTTTAGGTCAGGACTTTCATTTTCAGCTTTGAACTGAATGAACTATCCCATATATAAAACTTGTCTGGAATCCTTTTTTTTTATATTTTTTTTGGTGACTA